TTTTTAAACTTGGAAGAATTTTTATAATTTTGTTGTATGATTACTTTACTATACTTTCACAATTTCTTAATTTTTAATTGATATTTGTTTGTAATTTTTTATATTAATTATTTTATTTAAAAAATTTTAAACATAACGCGGGTAAAAAAACTAGCAACTGTGGTAGTCTAGATGATTTAAATTTATTGCTCAATGGATTCAACCAAAATTGCATCATCCTTTGGATTTGAGGACTGCGTTGCAATTTTTGACTAATAAATTGTCACCGGTTTTTGTTGCTTTCAGAAGAAGGGCAAGAGAATTGGTAGAAAAAATTCAGAAACTTTTTTTCAACAGTCTAGAATCTAAAGTAGTTGTGTTCACGCCACTTATCAAATCTTTACAGTTAACAAATACTAGGTTAAAAGAGGAAGAAAAAATGAATTTATGAATTGAAGTTGTGAATTATCTGAATTTACGGTAAAAAATATATAGAAATGAAATATTTTTTTAATAGAGTTTATTAAAATTAGTATAATTTAAATTGAATTTAGATTTGTATAAAATTTTTCATGTAAATAAAAAATATGTATTGATGTGATATTTAAAAAAAAAAAACAAAAACTCCTGAAATATATATATACTAGCGTATGCTTGTGCCTAAAGGCACGGTATAAATAATATTAAGATTAAAATGCAGTTATAAAAATAACAAATCCAATTGTATAATTGCATTGTGTCATGATCTAGAACCAAGTTTGACTCAAAGGCAACATCGCACCTCATTACCAAACTTTGGATACTAATTCAATAATGTACTAATTTTCCAATCAACAGTAAGAGATTTAATCAGCTAAATTAATCTTCATCATAAAAAATTCTCTCTTATGTCTAGAATTGCCAAATCATTTCAAACATGTACAAATTGCAAGTACCTACTTTCCTGTTCTCCAAGCGATATAAATTAGAATTTTTGCGAATCCATCAGTTTCTTTATGGAATTCTAACTCATCTCAATAATTTCTCAGATATCTTGCAGATTATAAATTATTGTGATGTCAGATCAACAAACTAAATGATTACTCACCTTCCTAAATTTAATTTTTCACCCATAAATCACAATACCGGCCCCTCATCAATTTAAAAATAAATAAACAAATAAAGAATGCATCTAATTTCGTACATATCCCAATTTAAAACAAATGAGTTAATATGTTTACACTTTAACAGTATAGTAAGAATTTTCAAAGTTGTCCATCTATTAAATGCATTCAAACTTAACAAAATGATGGTAACAGTATTAGTTTCTTGGCTCTTCAAGATGGTTAACTATTTTGGGACATCCCAAACGACAATAGAAGGTGGGTGTACATACTCTGTTAGTAAGTGTAAATATCATCAATATCAATTTCACCAATAATTTCCCAATTTTAATATAATTCTTCTTGTTTTCCAAACCAAACAAACACATAAATATCCCATAAACACATAAGTAAATTGACTTTCAATATATTAAGAATTTTCAACGTTCAATATATTAAGAAGTTTCAATCTGTTAAATGCATTCACACAAATCTAACTATCTTGGCTTTGTTAAGCATTTTAGGACATAAAAATAACAATGGGAAGAGTCTAAATAACATCAGTATCAATACAATCAATAATTCCCAATTGTAACATAATTCTTCTTGTTATCCAAATAAAAAAATAATAAATAAATAAAAAAAAACATTCCATATATGTGAAAAAAAAACTGTAGAACCTAATCGCTATTAGAAATCAATAATGAACAAATTGTTTTCTCAACCACAAATTAACGCACAAATAAGTTTCGAAACCACTATACAATCAAAATCAATAAACCCTAATCACTAAGTCATTAGGCAATCAAAAGGACAAAATCTCAATCATCAATGAGAGCAAAAAGAGAGGAGAGCAGAAATAACCTATTAACAACGCGTTAGAGAGAATTCTGGAAAACTCATACCTAACAATATAAAATGAAAATAAATCATGACTGGTGAAACTGGAACCCTTGGCTACATGGCTTCTGAGGTATGCGCTTGATTTGCCATTTATTGATCTCTCTCTCTCTCTCTCTCTCTCTCCTATTTGTGCCAGCTAATAATTGATTTCGTGGTGCTGAGGGGTTTTGTTGATTAGGCCCTGGAAGGAAGCACATGTTACTGTTGGGTAGTTATTGACTATGGCATGTATTGGAATTTGGTGTAACACCAATTGACAATTGCTTTGTGCTCTTAATAGAACTCTAGTAGCTTTACTTTTGATAAACTCCATTTGGTCGATGGAAGTGATTTTTTTACCAAATTGTATTCGAGTTAGACACATTATTAAACAAATATTGGATTATGTCAAGTTATACCATAATTTGGAAAGGAAGCTTTTCCGTGAAGAAGATTATTTCTGCTTTAACCCTAGGGCAGCTAATGATGTGTACTTTATATGCAGTTCCCTCTCAACTCTTTCCTACCATTTATCTAATCAATAATCTTGAATCGGAAAATGGCGCAGGTTTGGTTATGTAGATTTATATCTATGGATCTCATATTTTAGGATGAAATGATATTGAAACAACATTACAATCAATTTGCCCAGTAAACCAAAAACTATGTTATGTACTCCCGATAATAATCCAACATTACAATCAATTTGCCCAAACACCCATCTTTTTTGAATTAGAAAACTTACACTCTTAACCAAACACTCATATTGTTTTCTACTCTCATTTCAAAACAGTTAATTTAAAAAAATGAATGTTCGGTTGTATAATTTAAGATGTTCAAACTTTGAAATGGCTTTTTGCTATCAAATTATGCTTTAGTTGTTATTGATTTGGACAAATATCTCCAACTAAATCACATTAGCTGAAACAACAAACTTTAGGAACTAAATAGATGAAATTAATAGTTTAAAAATGATATAGATAAAAAATAAAAATAAAAAAGATAATAATTTAGAGGATAAAAAATGAAATTAAAACTTAAAAAAGAAATGTAGATATAGAACATTGAAAAGGCAATAAATTGGACTCACAACTGAAGAAGAAACTTGCAATTGCTGATTTCTTCAGGAATGTTGCCAACCAGTTTGAGATTATGCAAATCTAGAACCTTAAGCAATTCAATGCTCCCAAACCCTGCTGGAACAGTTCCCCAATCGAAAAACCAAAAGCCAAAAGCAATTCAATGCTCTGAATTATTCCCCAATCGAAAAACCAAAAGCCTCTTCAAACCCACAACCTCAATTGGAATACTCCCATTCAGACTGTTAAACCCCAAATCCAAGAATTTAAGGGCATTGCAATTTGATATGCTCAATGGGATCTCCCCGTTCAATCTATTCATCGAAACATCGAAAACTTGCAACTTCTTACTGCAAATCTCAGTCTCTACAAATACTTTTCTATTACAAAAAAATCTAACTTTGAATACAATGGAACCCAACAGATTCAGAAAATTAATAATGCATATAAATAAAACAACCCAATGGAAACATTTCAATTCAGTCCAAACTATGCTTCTTGTACTCTTCTCTTTCTTGCAATTTTAATAAATGGAAATTTCAATTCAGTCCATGTTTTGAAAAATTAACACAAATAAATAGTAAACTTTATAAATATTAATAATAAAATTATAAAGGTTTTCATGTATCTGTAATAAGTTTTTGAACTTATCACCGAATGATAGTTTTCTATTTTAATAGCTACCCTGCTTTCTTGCCTGGAACCTAATTAAATATACTTACACATTATACTTATCATAAATCATTAGGCAATTTTCCAAGAAAATAAAAGTCAATCACAAATTCAACAAAAGAAGAAAGCAAAGTACAAATAAAATGATACAAAATGCTTCGGGAAAACAAAAAAGTGAAGTTTTTAAAAAACTTGCCAGAGTTTGGTGTGATCCAATCGCACCGCTTCACCGGACTTGAAACCAGCAGCGAGAGCGACACCAAATCGACCCCGTCAGGAACAACCTTCACAGAAATCGACCCATTGGGCTTCACTCTCCTCTTGGAACTCACCATTTTCACAGAAGAACCACCCGAGGAAGATTCCAAATAGCTCGTACTGTCCAGTGACGAATTGTTCAGAACAATTGATCTCGTCGCTTCCAAAACCAACCTACTTGGCTTTTGCGGCCTCTTCAAAACCTCTTTCTTTCGTTTCGCTTCCACTGAAACCCTAACTACGACGATGCCCTCCTTTTTCTCTCCTCTCACTGAATCGAAGAAGGTATGGGTTTGTTGCAAAACAAAGGCCTAAAATGGGGAAGAGAGATGAAGGAGCGGGAGATGATGGGAGGAAGACAGGAATAGAGGGTTCGAGTTTGGGTCTCCGGCAAGGGAGAGGAGAGGTGTATCTGTGAAAGAGAGAGATGTATCTGTAAAAGAGAGATGTAGGTGAGAGGGAGAGAGAGATTGAAAGGGAAGGTGGGAAGACAGACGTGGGTAGGTGAAAAAGACAATAATGCTTAGGGAGAGAAGTCTTGGGCGGGAGATCTATTGATCTCAACCATTGATATAAACTTGGGATTAATTTCAGCCATTAAAATGTGTCTCATACATTAATATATTTTCAAAAATCCTCTTCTCTTATTATATAGATATATATATATGATTTCTTATGAATTAAAAACAAAGATTGCTATTTGCGCTAATCTTCTTTATAATTACACTAGTATTTTGTCTTTAACATTAAAATTTATACATGACACAATCTTCAACTGACACTGACAAAATTTAAAGTGTGATTATAAAAAAGAGGAATGTGAATAATAATTCCTTAAAAAAAAACCTATTCAATAAAAAATTCTTTCAATAGAATTAGCAAAGAATTTTAGAAAACACTTGACAAAAGAGGATAAATTGAAGGGAAAAAAACACAAGAAAACAAGAAGAAAAGGGAATTGTGTGGTAGAGACACCAAGCAAGCAAGATTGAATTTCCTTATCAACAATTCAGTTAGACGTGGCGTGTGTATTGTAAAGTGAATAATAGTCTATGATGACTGTCAAACCGCCATAACAAATCTGACAACTTCCCCAACTTGATCTTTATCGCCACCCTCTCTTCCTATCATCATGTCGTCGTATAATCATCACAGTTCCCAATACTCTCTTCAAAACACGTGGCACAATATGACTGGCTGAACAAACCAATAGTCGGTCCCACCAGCCCTGATGCCAATCCCCCCCGCCCATCCCCCCCTCGATCGTTGATCAAACCCTAGGTCCAAACTCTGAACGGTCCTCCGATCACGCATCGAACGCATGCCAGCACTGAATTCTGTTTACCAGAAGGGGCAATGTGGTAAAACAACACAAGATCGCACTATCTTTCTCTTCATCCGCACGTTTACATTTGGTACAAAATTGATCTCCAGAATTTCTTCTCAACTCAAAGTGTGTTCAATTCAATTCAAAACCAAACCAGTCTGACTGTCCCAAAAACATTCTGGAGGGAGAGGGAATTGAATTTGGTGTTTTAGAGAGAGAGAGAGAGAGGAGGGTGGGGGATGGGAAGAGCATTTGTGTATGTGATACTAGGGGGAGGGGTTGGAGCTGGATACGCGGCTCTTGAATTCACTAAGAGAGGAGTCTCTCACGGTGAACTCTGCATCATCTCTGAAGAACCTGTTAGCTCTCTTTCTTTCTTTATTTCATTCTATGTCATTGTCTCTTTCCATCTGTTATATGGGTATGTGCTCTTATGTTTTACGGGTATGTGCTCTGATTGTTCATTTTAATTTGTTATTAAAGCTTCTGTTAAAAAATGATGGCTTGCTTGTTCAAGATATTATTATTATGTTTGGTTTCAGGTGTTTATCGCATGCATATGATTGGAATTTCTGCAGGGTTATTTTCTGAATTGGAATTTGGTCATTGTAAAAACCCAGTGACCCAATGTCTACCTTTTGATTTTTCCAATTAATAAGATTTATCACTGTTTTACTAAATTGTTAGTTCATAGAAGAAGATTTTACTTCTTTTTTTGTTCTACACCTTTGTTTTTATTTGCACATCATCTGGGCATGTACGTGGGTCATCTCATGCTTCCCAGACCTTTAAACTTACATTCTTATATATTTCTCTCTCTTTGTTTTTTTGTCCTGCGAATTTCCATAATCCTCCACCTCATTTGTTGTTCAAGTCAGGTATATGATATGATTCACAACTGTTTTTGATTTTGTAAATTTTAGAGGAGTTTGCAAAACTGAATTGTCATTATTTTTCATAAATTCTTGCAGGTTGCACCTTATGAGAGACCCGCATTAAGCAAAGGTTTTTTACTTCCAGAAGGTATCTCTTTGCCTCAGGATTCATGGGTGTAAATATGTTTCAGTTCTTCCATCACGGATGATGCTTCCAACTTGGTAGACATCCAATTAAATGCATATTGGAGTATGGTTGTTGCCGTACTTTTCTTTTCTTTTCTTTTCTTTCACTTGTGCAAGCTCATGATCACCGCATGGCTTCTTCGTAGTCTTAGAGGGTCAGTAACAGCCCATGTGAAAAATATATTGGCATCATGTTATGAAGTAGGGTATGTGGGGATTTCCTTTTTGAGGTTCTACTTACCTCAAGCTTGTGATTGCCTAGTCTGTCAGAATTAACGTCACAATTTGTTTTCTATAGCATTTGAACGTGTGGAAGGTGAGATGGCTAGGGGTTAGCCCTCTGGGAAGATAGTAGGCACAATCATGACACAGGATCATTAGAGGTTGAGGAGAGAGTGAAGGCAACCTTATGTTAGAGAGAGACTGGTAGTGGAGAGCCTTTAGATCATCGTAGGTGAAGGAGGAGAGGGTTGAGGCAATCCTAGGTGAGAGAGATTGGTAGTGAGGACAAGGTGGTGTGACTTCTTGTCTTCATGCATTGATAATGTCTCCTTATATACGTTAGCTGAACCATAGGGAAAGCTCACCTCTAGAGAGGTGATTCAATCCCCTTGGTTTGACAATTCAAAGGTATCTCAACTCAACTACCATTGGCTTATGTTCATTCTTATGTTCCTTGTCTCAACTCAACTAATTTTCATTATGCATAGCATATGTTTATGTTTAGATTTATCTCTTTTAATTTTGAAGGACCAATTAGACTAAACGATGTTGCCTGATCCGATTCTTTTTTTATTGCTTCCCCCCCCCAAAAAAAAACCAAACCCCCAGAACAACAAAGCCGCCAAAAATAAACAACAAGCCGAAGAAGATCATCGATATACTCGTAGATGGGATATAGGAAGCAAGAACTGTCTCTAAGTGTACCACCCCCGTGGACGCCATCCTCGTCATAACGCCGTTACTACTCAAAAATTGGTGTCGAAATTGGGAGAGAAACTCTCAAAACCCCATTTTCGAACCTAAAAATTCTAGATCTACACTTTAAAAATGTAAAAATGGTCGTTAGAGTATCGCTAGAGCACTGCCGAAATTGCCTAGAGAGAGCAGCTATGTTCTCTCTCTGTGGACCTATGCATAGAGTAAGGGATTGGTTATGAAGGTTAAAACTTGGAAAGTCAAAAAAAAAAAAAAAAAATTACCTATTTTGTATGTCAGTTCCAATATTTGCTAAAAATATAATATACATTTTTTTAATAACACTGTTTTTTTGGGAACATTTTTTTCCCTCCAAATTATCATCATCTAATAGTTTTCATACAATTGAATTTGTTTAAAAATGCTCCTAATGAGATATAAAAAATAGGGGAAATTCTATAATATAAAAGAGGTGTGTATCATATGTCCCAATGATGATATTTGTTATATTTTCCGATCTGGTACATATGGTACCCACCCTTTAAGGGTTGTGTACTATAGTCTTTCTTTTTTTTTGAGAAAATCTGTGGAAGTCGTATAAAAGCATGAGCTAAGTGAGAATTTTTTAGCAGTTCAGATTCAGACATGGACAGGACAAGGAGTCCAGTTAAATCCTTGTGTCTGCTGGCTGAGAAAGATATAACAAAGTAGAATTTTGAAGTTCTTAATGGATTCTTGGCCAAATCTTGCCATTATGCTTTTTCACTGTAGGACTGATTGTAAAGACCCTAAGAACATCAAGAGCTTGAACCGGTGTATATTTCACTTTACATTTTTTGGTCTTTTAGAAGTATGTTCCTAAGAGATTACTGAATTCTTGCCTTTATAAGGGCAGTGTAAAAGTTTGAGTAGATTGATCATTTCCTGCTTCCATTCCATTCTGTATTGAATTTTATCATCATTTGTAATTTAAAATATTTATTTTTGTGATGACATGCAGCTCCAGCACGCCTCCCATCCTTTCACACCTGTGTTGGTGCCAATGAGGAAAGGTTAACCCCAAAATGGTACAAGGAACATGGTAATTGTTCCTCATATCATGCTCTGTTTACTACTAGTGTTAATGAGAATGATAAAAGGCACAAATCTGTTTTGGATTTTCAACTATATGTCAAATGTGTTTGATGGATAGCAATTTAATTATCTTTGTCAAATTGAAAATTTGCTTCCCAACCTTTCCGCAAGCACCGTGTTCCCCAACTTTTCACCCTTGATCTGTGTGCATCAAATTTGAGTCAATGGCTGATAATGTCAATGATAAATCATTTACTGAAATGTTAGCTGTAGTAACAAAAACTTGACTTATGTTTACACTATTATGGTTTTGAGCATACATTTCTGATTAAGGTTTCTATCATTCAAAAAGATGCTCTTGGATCAATACTTGAAAATTTACACATGTTTGCTCTGTTCAAAGCACAGTTTTGATGGGATTCAATTTTTTTGAAAGCCATTTGCAATGTTAGTACCGACAGGATACATTACATTTACCTTAAATGGGAGGAATTAAAATGGGTTAACAACAATACTTTGGCACATTTGGTTCTCAATTTTGTGGAAGCTTTACGGAAGCAGTTCACCAAATGAGGTCGGCTTGACTAGAAAAAGGTTATGCAATTACATCTTATATGCAGGGACATATTTGAAAACTCGAATAGGTTTTATCTGTTTAGCACAGATAGTACTGAATTTTGTGGAAGCGTTAGGATAGTAGTTTCCCATATGGGGTCTGCTTCTTCCAATTCACTTAACAATTACTGTTGCTATTGGTAGGATTCTGTGTAGAGATCTGCATTCAGAATTTCTGGTAGGTAATATTGTTGCGTGTATGAGAAATATTTGTAACATATCGATTAGTCCTCATTTGTTACACTTCTACCTAAAAAAAGGCATGAGTTGCACAAAGGCAGCTCTGCATGACTTCAATGGTTATTTCATAGACTGTTTTAGAAGAAAATGGAAACTTACATAAAATTTATTGACCTTGATGGCTCTAGGAATGCCTCTTCATATTTCACCCACTTGCTTTTACTTTTGCTGATAATTTACAAGAAATAACTGAGTGTTCTGCCTGATGGAATAGTTTTGGGTTCATGCTTATTGCATCAACACTAGCTAAGGCTCCTCACAATCATTCTAATGTGGTAAATTAATTTTACTGGCAGAGATAGCTCATTGGTTAGCAGTACTTGCATATCATCCAATAAAATCAATGGAATTAGATACCTGTTTATTTTGATTTATGTTATCTCTTGGTGTAATCACTGATCATGCAGTCAACATCTATCTCTAGGGATTGAACTGGTTCTTGGAACACGGGTTAAGTCAGCAGATGTGAAGCGGAAAACACTATTAACAGCCACCGGTGAAACTATAAGCTACAAAATTCTCATCATTGCAACAGGTGCTCGGGTACTGAAACTAATCTTGTAATTGTTTATGGGAAATTCTACTATACACACCCCTTGAATGGGATGTACCATATGCACCCCTAGTTATGCCATTTTCTTCTTTAGTTATGGCATTATTTTAGTTATGACTCATGAGATCTTTGGTAATGCCTCATATAGTGTTTGGTTATGACTTTTTTTAGTTATGACTCAGAAAATGTGGAGTTATGTCATTTAATTCTTTAGTTATAAGGTACATATGGTACCCACCCTTTAAGGGTTGTGTACTATAGTCTTTCCCATTGTTTATATACCTTAATTGCGTTAAATAGTCAGTTAATCTTTTTAATCTGTGTATATGTGTGAGAGACATACAACATTACAAAGGTAAATAAGAGGTTTTTAATGATAATTAAATGCATGGTTTATAAACCTAAAGAGGATAAGTGATCTTCCTATGCGGAAATATCAATCCTCAACAATGACATTGTTTGCTTTGCCACCAGTGAAGGTTGCTGCGGCAATGCATGATGTGGGTGTGCAGACCAAGGCTAAGGTTGAATTTTGATTCCGATTTTAGCTTTGGTCCTGAATGAAATACAAGAAAGAAACCATAAATTTATTAGCAAAATTTTGTAGAGGGTGCTTTATACTTTGTATGCCAGAAGTACTTGTAATTTTCAACACCCATATGAAATGTTTGAGGCCTGAAAATTTTAAACTCTTGATTGAATGTACACTGTGATGTAATAACTGCATGTCAACTGATTTATAACTGAGTCACTACTGCTAGCTGGGGTTAGCAACATTGAGTCGAGGGAATGTAGTCCTTAAATTACCACACTTCAAAATATGGTTTACATTTGAGTACATATGACTGAAAAAGTACTTACCATAAGAAGAGATCAGTAGATGCTTTTTTTCTAAAGGCTTCTTAAATATCTTTGTCTGACCCAAGTCCAAATGTTTAGGTCAATTTAAGGATTTAGAGTGAATGTCCTCATAGTTTAATAGGGTTTTATTACCAAGGATAATGGCCATCTAATTAAGGATTGATTGAATTCATTGACTCTGATTTGCGTCTGGTGTGTGTATAGGCTTTGAAGCTTGAAGAGTTTGGACTTAATGGATCAGATGCTAGGAATGTGTGTTATTTACGTGATTTGGCTGATGCAACCAGAATTGTTGATGTGATGCAATCTGGTATCGGTGGGAATGCTGTTGTCATTGGTGGTGGCTACATAGGAATGGAGTGTGCTGCTTCTTTGGTGATAAATAAGATAAACGTCACCATGGTTTTCCCAGAGGAACACTGCAGTAAGTATTTAATGTCTGGACTGTTTTATCTTTTGTAATCTTAATTCATTCTTCAGAATAAGGTTTTACAAGAATAAATAAGGTTCGCCCAAAAATATGAATGGAATGTTCCATCTTTCCAATCTAACAATTACCCTATATATATATATATACTATGACCCTGACAAATCTATTTAAGTTTAGGCAGTGCCAGTTTTTTCTACATGGAGGATTATCCATTGTTTTGTAGACTTCTAAATTTTTTTCCCGACAGAGTGCCTTTATTTTGTTGTGATTTCTGTGAAACACACTTCTGGCATTTACTTTTCAAAGCAAGTACCAAAACCAACATGAAGCAGGGTTACTTACTTTGAAATATACATAGTCCCTTTTAAATGTAAGGTAAAGTGGAATTAATTGGTTTTACTTTCATGAAATGTACAGATGCATTTTCAATCTGTATATTTCACTAGCATATATACCTGTGTTCAAAAAAAGTATTATATCTGCATTCTTTTTTCTTTTTTCTAGCAAAATTTTCTGTGAGCGTATTACTTTGCTGAAGTTCTCGTCTTCTGTGTTGTAATTCCTGCAGCACTGACAAAACTCAGAAGCATTTTCTTCTAATATTGATCCATTATTTTTTGTTTTTGCAGTGGCCCGTTTGTTTACCCCCAAGATTGCGAGTTATTATGAAGATTATTACAAGGATAAAGGAGTCAAGTTTATCAAAGGAACTGTCTTGTCATCAATCGACATGAATTCTGATGGAAAGGTATATCTTACTCTTATACTACCTCGGGCTGGCTATGCCTTTCTTTGTTTTTCTTTGCTTTCTTCTGCTTTTTTTTGTCCTTTTCTTTTTTGGGGAGAGCCGGAGTGGAGTTTTTATTTTATTTTATTTTATTTTATTTATGTTCCAATGAAACTGGCCAACTTGATTGCTAAATTTGGACCAACTCATTGTACAGGTTACAGGAGTTAATCTTAGGGATGAGAGTCATCTTCCCGCTGATATGGTTGTGGTGGGAATTGGAATCCGTCCAAACACAGCCTTGTTTGAAGGCCAACTAACACTTGAGAAAGGAGGGATCAAAGTGAATGGTCGAATGCAGACAAGCAACAACTCGGTCTATGCTATCGGTGATGTTGCTGCATTTCCAGTCAAACTTTTTGGGGAAATCCGCAGGCTCGAACACGTTGACTCTGCTAGGAAATCAGCAAGACATGCTGTGGCTGCAATAATGGAGCCAGAAAAAACAGGCGAATTCGACTACCTCCCATTCTTCTATTCCAGAATCTTCACATTGTCTTGGCAGTTCTACGGAGACAATGCAGGGGAGGTAGTCCACTTTGGCGATTTCTCTGGAAACACTTTTGGGGCTTACTGGGTTAGTAATGGTCATCTTGTGGGTTCTTTTCTTGAAGGCGGAACCAAAGAACAGTACGAGGCGATATCGAAGGCCACAAGGCTCAAACCAGCAGTTGAAGACTTGGCTGAGCTTGAGAACCAGGGTTTGGGATTTGCTTTGGCGGCAAGTCAGAAGCAGCCACCATCACCGCCACCTCTTAGTCGTGGCGGTACTCCACTTGCTCTGGATAAACCGTTGTATGCTTGGCATGCAACCGCTGGTGTTTTGGTGGCGGCATCGATAGCGGCTGTTGCCTACTGGTATGGAAGGAGGCGTCGAAGGTGGTAAGAAAATTAGCATTGGGATTTGTGGATTTGGGATTTTGATGGTTGGATAGTGTAATATCCATGTTGTAGCATTCTTAGGGCTATGGTGGATTTGAAACACTTGCATCTAATGTGATCATTTCTATTCAAGCAATGAAGGAATCAATACGTTATTCAAGATATACCTCAGTTGCAAATGTTGTTACTAGACTGTTTGCGTTGTCTTCTTCATATTTATCATTTGTTGTTGTTTCTTGATCAAATTCTGAACAGTTCTATTACGAGCGTAAAAAATAAATTCGAAATACACATCTTTTTGGTCAGTAAACTGACTACAAATATTTGCTTGCCTAATCTACTTTCAATTTTTTTCATCTGCCCATATGTTATCCTGCGTGACCGGATTGAAATAGAATATGTTAAAGTCTCAGTACTTGGAATCAAATCCTTGACATTGTAGAATTTTACACCAACTTTCTAAACCATATAGTAAATTGTTTTTCTCCTAACATATAATTCATTTTTCAATGTTTCAAATTTATATTCATATAGTGTCATTTGTATTAAAAATATTATAATATAGACTCTAATTATTTGTTTGTCAAAAAAAAGAAAAAATAGTTACTCCAACTAAATCAAACGAGTGGTGCTTAAATTTACTTGAAAATATTTTAAATTATATGTAATTTTACTTGAAAATATAATTTTATTTTAAATTATATTTAAAAAAAAAATAGTTACTCCAACTAAGGGGTTGTTTGGGATGATCTAAATAAGTGCACTTTTTGACTTTTTATAAAATATGGGTTGGGTTTGGGTTGGATTTAAAGTGATGTGTTAAAGAGGTGATATGACTTAAATAGGATAGTGACTTTTTGACTTTTTATCTTTTTCAAGACATGTCAAACTTGGCCTAAATCAAACGAGTGGTGTTTAAATTTACTTGAAAATATTTTAAATTATATGTAATTTTATTTTGGAAGTGGTGCTTAATAATAGGTTAATTACTAATATTTTATATTTGGAAATTGATTAAAAGGAGGGCATTTGGTCTAGTGGTATGATTCTCGCTTTGGGTGCGAGAGGTCCCGAGTTCGATTCTCGGAATGCCCCATTTTTTTAATAAACTTTGCCCTTTTTCGTGAGAAACCGATTAATTACCACTTTTACCATCTATCCGCTTAGTTTTTTTGGTAATTTAGAAGGGCAATTTTGTCAGTAAGTCTCCATATTTAATCCGACCCACTTTATCCTTTACTTTATCCTATCAATAATTCTTCTCTCTCTCGCGTCTCTCTCACAGAGCAAATGGTCTCCACACACACTCTTTGTTCAACCTCTTATCCTACACGAGTGAGGATGCTCTCTTTGTAGCTTCCGTGCTTGCGTCCGTCTTTGCAGGTATTTGGGTCTATTTTTAGGTCCAATTTTAATAATTCAAACTGTTCATATTTTATGATTTATTCAGTATATCATACCTGTAAAAAATTAAGTTAATCGGATATCAGAAAGCGTTTATTAAATTCTTTAAAAAATAGTGTTTAGTTCAATTTTTCAAACACATACTTTCTGATATCCGATCAATTTGATTTTTTACAGGTATAATATACTGAATAAATTATAAAATATAAACTGATCGAATTATCAAAATTAGACCTAAAAGTAGATTCGAAGCCCGCAAGGACGGACGCAAGTACAAGCTTGCAAGGCGGGGCTCTTGACTCATCCTACACCGCCCTCTGCTTATCCTATTCCCCCCTCCGTCACTTTCCCCAACCAATCCCTAGATTTCCCATTCCGACAGCCACAAACCTCCCACCGCGCCACCTTCCTCCGCCCAATCGCCGCCGTCGAAGCCCGGAGAACATCTCAAAGATCGGTGACGAAATCTCCACATTAACCCTATCAGACGCCCAAAAACTCGTCGAGTATCTCCAAAACAAGCTCGGCGTCTCCGCCGCATCCTTAGCCCCCGCCGCTGATGCTGCGGCCGCCACCGTGGAGAAGACGGAGTTCGATGTGGTGATTGAGGATGTACCGAGCAATGCGAGAATTGCGACGATTAAGGCGGTTAGGGCATTACCGAGCTTGGCCTTGAAGGAGGCCACGGAGTTGATCGAGGGGTTGCCGAAGAAGTTTAAAGAAGGTGTGTCTAAGAAAGAGGCTGATGAGGCCAAGAAGCAGCTTGAAGCTGCTGGAGCCAAGGTCGCCATTGCTTAGACAGTAATTCAAATTGATTGAATTGGGGTAAATTTTCTTAGTTTTTGTAATGAATTGAATTTTTAAATTTTTTTTTTGGTTGAATCCTAATTGGCATTGCATTGTTATCAAAACTTGAACAGAAAATTTTATTTTGCATCTTTAACAAGGAAAAAAAAAATCAAAATAAAGAATTATAATTTAAAATTTTATAGAAGCTTCACTTATCCTTTTTTTTTTTTTTCAAGCAAAAATGTTTGATCCACTAAATTTTCACCGGATACAAATGAACAAAAATGTTTTGGAGGTCTAATTTGTGAGTTCAAATGTCTATGTGAGACCTATCTAATGTGATGTTTTAACCCTCTTTTTTTTTTTTTTTCACCTCACTAAAGCTCAATTCAAATTTTAATTTAGTTCAATTCGAATTTTAATTTTAGAAAGATGTATTGTTGTTGAAAAATAAATATCTCTATAACATATTCATTCATTCATTCGGACAATTCAGAGATAAATATAAACGTACTAACTTTTTAGGCCTCAAATAGACTTGGCGGTCTCTAGGCGGTGGGCCGTTGGAGAGTGAAATTATAATGATTAATGATTTATTCACTGAATGTGAAATTTTGATCGGAAAGAAACTCATTCGGATAGAAAAAATTTCGGTGGTAGATGTAGTAGTGCTGAATTAAAATTGTTCATGGATTTCCTTCAAGGGGGTGTCTTATTTATTGAATCTTCCTATATTTTTCTTGGAAGATCCAGGGTTTTAAGAGTAATTTTCTAGAGAAAGAAAGTTGGAGAGAAACCATCACTTCTTCTGGCGTCTTATTGAGCGTGCTGGGTTTTCAGAGTTAACTTGAGAAGTCATTTTACTTTTTTGGCTATGCGTTGTTTGGGAACCTTCAAAAATATTCAATGCACTTGGAATAATGTTCTATTTTATTTACAAATTAATTAATTATTTATTTGAATTAATAATTATGTGATATTTTGAGAAATTGGTAAAAAATTAACTTTTTGGTCTTTTTAGCGACTTTTTGTGTAAAAAAAAATGATTTTTTTGTATGAAAAAGTTAAAAAGCTAAAAAACTGGCATTTTTAACTTCTTTTCAAATTGCCCCCATGATATGATAATTTAAACTAATAATTATTCATTTAAAGTAGTACCGGACCATTGAATAATTTCGATAACTTTCTATTTGCTCATTACTCTTTAGGTAAAAATCAAGGAAAATACTTTGGACTCTCATTTTGGAGACTCTCATGACTCTCAAAAAATGATTGTGATTGGTCATGTGTGTTTTTGGCTTTTGTTTTATTTTGTTTTTTTTTTCCTCTCTCTGACACGTGTGCGTAGGGTTTGTAGGGATGAGATGTTTGTGGAGTTTGTATCATTTCTGAAAAATCAATTGGATTTCATTTTAGGGAGGGACTAAAATCACAACCACCATTATCATTGTCTATACAAAATATATAAAGCACGGATGCAAAGTGAACAGTATTTTCAGTCAAGTATGAACAGTGTTTTTTCAATGAGTGAATAGTCGATTTTGCCCTTGTGCTTTATAGCTTTTTTCCTTTAGATGCAAGGGTACTGATGGAAAACTGACTTCAAAAAAAGATCCATGTATACCCACTATCTCTTTATATTTGTCTCAGAGAACCCTTCATTCTCTTCCCAACGGTGATCTCCCTCCACCGACCACTATATTTGACCACCTCCTCTCTCTTCTCACCGATCTCCTCCCTCATCTCTTCTCTGGCGACCGCCGATGACATATCCTATGTGGTGCCTATTTGTTTGATTTTGTGGGTATTCATAGTGTTCGCCAGCAAATCAAACGGAAATTGAGCCCATGGATGGAAGAATACGACACAAGCTTCTGTTAAGATAAAGACATAGATAAAGAATGTTAGGTATTTTGATTTTAGGTTCCTTTTGATCCAGTTAGGGTTTGTAAAGTGTTTTAATTTTCTTTGGTTCTGTTAATTTGTTAGGGTTTTGGTCTCTTTATTGTTTCCTGTGTGTATATTTTGTGCCACTTTGTTTGATTTTGTGGGTATTGATTTTGGGTAAAAGAGGGTTTCATATTGATTTTTTTCTTTTTTCTAGAAAAAATAATAATTTTAAGTTTGGGTAAGATTATTCCATTACTTTTTAAGTTTGCATACAAAGGGAATATTTGAATAATAGACAATTTGTTTTTATTTTTTATTGGTTTTGTCGATTACGAGCATTTACTATGGTTAAATTGGATTTTGACAATTCTAGGATAGTTGTTGCATTGGACTTGTATAAATCCCATGAGAAGAGCTGTTTAGGGAATGATTCATTTCATTTCATTTCACTATTTTTAGCTTATAATTTGTTTATATACTAACATTAGTATAACTACAACCTCTGGATCAATGAAACGCTAAATTCGCACTAAATTAGAAACATCATTGACAGCAACAAGAAGAGAACAGGGGCATAATTTGTATACTAACATTAGCATTTATATACTAACATTAGTATATACTCAATTCACATTAGTATAATTTGTTTTGCTTATCATTTCATTGCATTTGTAAAATGAAGGGAAAAATAGTGAGATTGAAACATCATTGACAACAACAAGAAGAGAACAAGGGAAAAATAGTGAGATTGAAACATCATTGACAACAACAAGAAGAGAACAGAGGCATAATATGACTTCAAAATATCAATTAGAAAAGCAGAACAAAAAATTTAGGATAATTTAGTTTTTCAATCTCCCTTGTTGTTTGTTCAGTTGAACTTGAGGCATAATATTACTACCTTTTGCATGTTAGGTGTTCATATAACAGAGGAATACACAATTCTTCATTCATAATAGTTATTATATTTTGAAAAGAATTCTTCAAATTATTATTTTTGAAATCCAAGATTAGCCTTATTCTTTTGCAAATTTATTCTCATTGCTATGGAATTCTAATTGCATTGTTAACTTTGTTTTGTAGTTAATTGTAGTCCAATAATTAAGT